GTATTCGAGGTTGATTGCAAAAGAAGCCTTGAATACTTGTTGAGTTTTACTTAGGTAGCATATAGATGTTGCCTCGTTAAAAACCTTGCCGGTAAAACCCTTTTCGGGATAAAAATCCGGTCGAAGGAAAAGAGTGCAACGTATGCTTTGAAACCTTAAGGTCTTCGAGCTGGATTAGCGCTTCGACTGTCTCAGTCGAACACTTGCATAAAGGTTAGTGTGAAGTGTAAATTAAAAAGGGAGATGGTTATGCCTTAGTGGTGATGGCGCTTTGAGCCTCGGTAGGCCTTCAGTATTTGCCCCGAGGACACGGTATGGTCCTTCATTTGTTCATTCGGGTATAGCCGAGAACGTGTCTCGTGATTGCTATTTCACTATTTGTTTGTCCTGCAGTTTCTTCAGCATTGAAGGCGTCGGTGCCGGCACCACGTCGTGCACTGCGAACATCTCCCTTGTTGCATGTTGTTCCCTATACACGGTTTTTATTCCGTCCTTTGTCAAAAACTTCATCATTTGGTGAAAAGTTGATGGTACTGCTCTCATGCAGTGTATCCATGGACTTCCAAGCAAAACGTTGTACCTCATGTCTCTTTTGATAACGTGGAATTTGGCATTTTGGATAGTGCCAGCTACATTGACCGGGAGGGTGATCTCCCCTTTGGTTGTCTCGCTCGCCATATGAATCCGTTAAGGACTCGAGAGGCGGGCACAATCTGGTCGAGCAGACCGAGCTGCTCCATGACCCTTGACCTGATGATGTTGGTCGAGCTACCTGGATCCACAAGTACATGTTTAATTTAAAATGTATTCACAAGGAAAGAAATTACCAGTGCGTCGTTGTGAGGCTGAGACAAGGTCTCGATATCCTCGTCGCTGAATGTGAGGGCATCCTCGGGTATGTAACCTCGAGTTCGCTTTTCTCTGGTGATGGATATTTTCGTTCTTCTGATAGTGGGTTCTTGTGGGGTGTCGACCCCTCCCATGATCATGTGGATAACATGTTGCGGCTCATCTGCTTCGTTCTTTTTGGTCGCCTCTCTTTCCCGGAACTAATTTTTGGCTCGGTCGCTGAGGAATTCCCGTAGATGACCTTTGTTGAGTAGTCGGGCTACCTCTTCCCAGAGTTGCCGGCAATCTTCGGTCCTATGACTGTGTGTGTTGTGAAATTCACACATTAAGTTATGGTTCCTTTGTGAAGGATTTGATTGTACAGGCCTTGGCCACCTGGTGTCTCTGATTTTACTGATGGCGAACACGATATCTGAAATATTGACGTTGAAGTTGTATTCGACAAGCGGGGTGCCTCTGTCGTCCCTGCGTGTCTATCGAACCCGGCTCTGCTGACGAGTCCCCGAGGGTTCTGCCCTTGGTATGTTCTTCGATCATTCTGGGGTATGTTATGCTTTGGGGCGTTTCTCTTGTCTTTGGTGTATGGCTGGTACATTTCTTTGTTTGGCTTTGTCTCCTTCGCCAGAAGCCTGCTTGGGTATACCGAGCTCGAGGGGGCTCCTAATTGGTCGTCCTCGACCTTGATTTTCGATTGATATCGGTTGTGAACATCCGACCAAGTCACAGCGGTGTATTTAACCAAATTCTGCTTCAGTTGTTTCGAAGCCACCGAACGTCGTTCGTTCAAACCTTGAGTGAAGGCCTGCACTGCCCAAGTCGTCGAAAACTGGTGGTAGTTCCATTCGTTCCATTTGAAAGCGAGATACGAACTCTCGTAGCATCTCATTCTCCCTCTGCTTGATCTTGAAGACGTCGAATTTCCTTGTTGCTACTTTGATGGCACCAGCATGTGCCTTTATGAAAGAATCTGCCAGCATGGCAAATGAATCTATCGAGTTTGGGGCCACGTTGTGATACCACGTCATTGCCCCCTTTGAAAGCGTTTCTCCGAACTTTTTTAGTAGGACGGACTCGATCTCGTCATCCTTTAGGTTGTTGCCCTTCACTGCGTATGTGTAAGCAGTAACGTGTTCATTGGGGTTTGAGGTTCCGTTGTACTTCGGGAGGTCTGGCATTCTGAACTTCTTTGGAATGAGTTTGGAGCCGCTTCCTGTGGGAATGGCTTCTGTACGAACTTCTTTGAATCCACACCTTTCATGATCGGGGGTGCGCCCGGAATTTGGTCAACCCTGGAATTGTAGGTCTCGACCTTCTTTTCGTTGGCTTCTATCTTTTTCTCGCCCGACTCGATCCTCTTTGTGAGGTCCTCGAGCATCTTTACGATGGTGGGGTCGGCTGCCGACCCGTTATTACTTGATCTTTCTGGTACCTGTTCGGTCCGAGGGGCTGCTGTACTTGGGGTTTTTGGGTGGCTCTGCAGTTGAGCGATTGCCAGCTGTTGTGTCTGCAACATCTAAAAAATAACATGAAAGCTAACCTCCTGTTCCTCCCAACGAGCTAGGGTTTTTTGGACTTTTTGTTGATCTCCTTGATGTACGCTCCTGTTAGTGTGGGAGTTCATATTGACGTGTTGGGCATTGCATGAGACTGCGTCCACAGGAATTGGTTCTGGTGCATTCTCAGGGTTTCGTGGTGGTACACCAACACCCGGAACATCCACATTGTTCTCTCTGTGGTCTTCAAGATTGTTGTTTTCACGTGCATTTAGTGAGTTAGATATTTTGACCTGAAATCAAAGATCTTGGACAAGAAAAAGTGTGAAAGATAACTTGCGTTATGTAGCTAAACCAGCAAGAAAATAATCACTATTATTTTTAGCTCCACGATGGGCGCCAAACTGTTTATCGTGAAAATAGTAATAACAACTAGATTTGATTTTGTTGTTCTAAAAATACATGATCTATTTTTATGCTAGTTGTTAGGCAATGGATGCTACGTAAAAAGATTAGAAAGCAATATTATGGCTTGAAAATGATGTGATAGTCAAACCAAATGGCTGGAAATCCGGACCTTGAGCTGGCGTAAATGGGGCCTCGAGGTCGAGTCTGGTGGCCGGCTTAGGGCAATCGAGGGAGGATTAACAATTATGAGAGCTAAAATGATGGCTCTTTATGATCAATGATAAACAATAAATGAAGAACAATAAATAGAACACAATGAATATAAGCAATAAATGGAAGTAACGAGATCAAGAGAATCTGTTAGAGAGCAGAGAGAATGTTCTTGTATATCTAGTATTGAATATCAGACCCCCTTACAAAATGACAAGGATCCCCTTTATATATGAGGGAAAACCCCAACATAGTACCAATGCATTTATTACAAAGTAAGATAGTTGGCACAACTACCTTGTAATCTGGTGCAGACTGGTACTATTCTTGCAGGTGACGCCAGTTCGTACCTCATGCCTAGGGAACTTCCCGCTTACCCTCGATAACCACCGACTCATGCTGCGTCGAGGTCGAGTGTGAAGAGCCTTCGAGGTCGAAGCCTCAAGCTGCGTCCCCGGATCTTCGGGGTCTTTTTGAGGCTAAGGGAGAGACGCAATAATCGTGAAATCGGGCCTCCCGATTTCGCCCGTATACAAGCATATTATGCTTAAATTTTTGAATTTTTAAGAGTATTTCATATTTTATCTTTACATAAAAAAGTAGCTATTTTTTCAGTTACTAGTTATAAATCAAGCCATTTATGAATTTTTTCCCCCCAATTTAACCACTTGACACAATTTCAGCAATATTCCAATAACGTTGAATTATTTTCCTTTCGTTATACCATTGATTCAAACAGAAAAAGAAGGGGAAATCCCATGAATATACTTAAATATTCTAAAAATTTAATAACTAAGCATAGTAATTCAGTTTCATCACAAAGCTATTTCTGCATAAATAAATAACAAAATCCATAAATTGGGCTCGGAACATATATAAAATAGTAGTAGCAAATCTAGTGATAATTATGAATTTACGAATAAAAATGTTGTAATGTATATATTTTTCATATATATCATAGGAGAACAACCCGCTAAATAGGAAAAAAAAGATGTGGTTATTATCGCGAAGTATAGTTTATGCTAAGTTGATAAAAAGAGGACAGCGGAAGTAAAAGATCATATACTATGTCACTTCTTTTTTTGATAAAGCATATACTACGTCACAATAAAACAAACAATAGAAAAATAGATTAACGATGATGGAAAAGGTAGAGTTCGAGACTCGAAAGGAATATTAGTGATGGACTATCTGTTTGGCCATAAGTTTTTTTCCATTTTAAAAAAAAAAATTAAAAATATTGTTTGGTTATAAAAAAGTGACCAGCTTTTGAAAATAAATTTTTGAAGCTTCAAAAAATAGTTTAGACTAATTTTTCAAGTTTTCTACTCATAAATTCAATTTCTTTTCAAATAAAATGTATCATAACACATCTCAACTTCCAAAAAAGCTATTTTTCTTCTCATATTAAAATTCTTTTTTTTAAGTTTCAACAAAATTTATGTCTAAACGCTAGCTAAGTATAAAATTTGGTGGTACTAGTTTGAGTTTTGTATATAGAAAATTAAGTTTCCAAACTCAGTTTTTCGACGTCTAAACACTAGCTAAGTATAAAATTTGGGAGTAGTGTTTATTGGAACAAGTTTTTGCAAAAAAGACAAAAATGAATTTGAGGATTTGAAAATTCAGGTTTTCAATATTTTAAAAACTCACGCCATAGATTCTCGTAAGTCGTTTTCTTTCCATTTCATCATCTAAATCTAAAGAAGAAAAAAGAAACCAAAATTGAAAAAGTTGAGGTGTGAACACTGCCAGTCAACAAACGCACAATGAAAAGAAGAAGAGCGGAAGCGGAATGTAACTGACAGATGTGAGTGATAGGACGCGCAAGTTGCCGGTGGAAATATCTACGTGGCAATCAACAACTGGTTCCAGCTTCTGAAAAATGTAACGTAAAAGATAGACTTGTTAGATAGAGAAGAGTGGAAATTAGAGAGTACGAGAAGTATAATTACAATAGGAAAAACACTATTAACGAGGAGGGTTAAAAGGGTAAAACAATGGGCCAAAGTAGTATAAAAGGGGGCAGTTGAGAAGATTAAAGCCACAAAACAAAAGAGTGAGGCGAGAGAGAGATATACTCATCCATATTTTTCTCACACCTGCACACACCACACACTAAAAAAAAAATCGAATTTTCTTTAAGAGTTTTTTCATCTTCTTTCTTCCCCCCTTTCTGTATCATCCCGCTTCTTTGATCCCTTTCTGTAAACCATCTGTGTTTTTTCAAGAAGGTTTTCTGACTTTTGAGTTTGTGTTTTTGAACAAAGAAATGGAGAAAATGCAAGCTTTTAATTAGACGAAATATTTTCTTATAATCCAGGTGTTTTCAGAATCGAGATCTGGTATAAATTAACTCAGTATAGTTTCAGACTTGTTTTTATCTTTCTTTCAAAATCAGCTTTAGAGGGCTTATTAGTTGTCCCTCAAAGGTTGAATCTTTTTTTCTTTTGAAAAAAGAGGTTGTTATTTGAAGACCTCTTTGATATCCTTTTTTACTGTTTATAATTTCAGCTGTAATTAAAATCACTCACCTGTTTTCTTTTATTTGACAAGAAACAGGTTAACTTTTTTTGTGAACAGGTATTTTTAGGTAATGGCAGCAGCTATGGATTTTTGGAATAGTACATCTGTAGATGTTCACTCAACATCAGAACCTATTATTACTTCTGGTGGTGAATTAATGGAAGCACTTGAACCTTTTATGAAGAGTGCTTCTTCTTCTTCTTCTTCTAGTTTCCCTCCTTCTATTTCTACTCCTTTCCCTTCTGATTTTCACTCTTTTCCTTCATTTCCTCCTTCTCCTATTCCTACCCCTACTTCTACCATTTCATATCCTTGCACTTCTTTTTACCAAACAGCACCTCAACCTATGGGCTCTGATTCTTGTTCCACTTCCACGACTGAAAATACCCAAATCTTTTCAACTGGGTTTTCGGGTTATGGAATGGAGCAACCAGGCTCAATCGGGTTGAATCAATTAACCCCAGCTCAGATCCAACAAATCCAAGCCCAAATCAACTTCCAAACCCAACAACAACAACAGATGATGTTCCACCACCATGCATCTACCATGAACTTGTTGGGCCCAAAGCCCGTTCAAATGAAGCAATCTGGCTCACCACCAAAGCCCACTAAGCTCTACAGAGGCGTTAGACAACGCCACTGGGGAAAGTGGGTAGCTGAGATCCGATTGCCCAAGAACCGGACCCGGCTTTGGCTTGGCACCTTTGACACTGCTGAAGAAGCTGCCTTGGCCTACGACAAGGCGGCGTATATGCTACGTGGCGACTTTGCTAGACTCAACTTTCCCCATCTCCGCCACAACGGCTCACTTATCGGCGGCGAATTCGGAGAGTACAATCCATTGCATTCCTCTGTTGATGCTAAGTTAAAGGAGATTTGCGAGAGCTTGGCGCAGGGGAAGAGCATTGACTCTAAGAAGAAGAAGACGTCCAAAGGGTCTTCAGCGGCCGCGGTGGTGAAAATGGAGGAAGAGGAGAGCAAGGTGGCCGAAGGCGGATCCGAGAGTGACGGGTCGGGTTCAGGGTCAGGTGGATCATCGCCCGTAACTGACCTGACATTTCCGGAGTTTACTGAGGAGGAGTCAACGTGGGACATGTGTTCGGAGAATATGTTGTTGCAGAAGTATCCATCTCATGAGATTGATTGGGCCTCTTTATAATAAAATTAGAAAAAAAAAGTAATTAGCAATTAAGTTCAGGTCTAAGAGTCTATGTAATTTTGTTTTGTTTATAGTTGTTGATGGTGGTGTATTTAGGAAAGGGACTGCAATGGAGTTTTTGGCAATTGCAGGGCTAATCCTTGAATTTAGTAGGGTATCCTATTGTAATAATGGGGTCCATTTTGAGTCTTCATCTTTTAGGTTAAAATAATCCTAACTGGTCAGCTGGTGTTTTTGTCTTGGCTAGGGCAGTGGATTTGATGCTTTGTCATTTGTACTTTCTTTCTTTCTTTCTTTAGTGTCAATATTTCCTCTTTTAGCAGTATAATAATTAGAGTCCTGTTATTCATATTGATGTACGGGTATTTATATTTGCCACAAAAGATTTTCCAATTAACCAAATCGGACAACCTATATGAGAATGAACCATGTATGAGAATAGAACATCCGGTGAATGATTCAAACTTTATCATTAATCGTAGCATCTCCATCCCTCTTTAATGTAATTTAATTTTTACTTTGAAAAAATGTAAGCTTGCCAAAAAGAAGTCGTGCCAATCCTGAACCTCATTTCGTGGCAAATCCAATCCAATCCTCAACAGCTTGCATTCAAAGAAAAAATGAAATAATTCAAATTTATCTAAAAATATTATTTAGTATCATACTTGTAGCCTAAAATATCATCAACTTTGTGTTAAAATATTGCCAACAAATATTTAGTCAGGAAAAGCTCCGACTTGAATCCTCCCAAATCCCGTGACCAAAATAGAAAAGCGTTATTTTTCCGAGCCTCAACCAGCTGGACAAGTATTACGACATCAATTGAAGAGTAGATAGCTATCGTTGTTCAAGCAATAAAACCATACAACTTATTAATACGTCCACTATCCTTCAATTTTCACCTAAATAGAAAGTTTTTCTACTATTATCTTATTATTATTCAATTGTATTGCTACTGTTATTCTGCTGTAATTACTTTTTTTCTTTATTATATTATCTTAGCTTTTTTGCTCTTGTATATTTCTAATTTATTTTGAAATTGGTGTTCTTGAGTGGGGATCTATCAGAAATCATCTACACAAGGTAGGAGTAAGATTTGCGTACATTCCACCCTGCACATACTCCACTTACGTGATCGCACTAGGTATGTTGTTGTTGATACTTTTTTTAGTCAGAATCCTCTGTGAATAGTACGTTAAGAGAAGCTATTATTTGGAACCTTACAGATTGAAGTTATAGTCACAAAACTACAATTCAAATCCAAAGAAATAAGTTGGTAAAGCACCTCCATCCACGATCATTAGGTTTTGGGTTCGAGTCACGTTGGAGGAGAAGTATGAAAACACTATAAATTCTCTTAAATTGGGAGGAAAAAAAAAATCCAAAGAAATAAAAATAAAAGTTGAATGCGGGAATTGAGAACGATATAAAAGAATTACCCAAATACATTGATGACTGCAATTGGATGGTAAAATTAGAAAGGAAAAGAAAATAGTAATAAAACCAAAAGGTCAAAAATGAGGTAAAATTCACGAATTGTATGATATTAATACATATGGACGGCTCATTGAATTATATGGGTCCCGTTCATCAACTTGGATATTAATTGTGAATGTGAGTACGCGTAAAAATTAACATATTACAATAATCAAATACTCCCTTCGGTCCACTTTAAATGATTTTTTTGCCTTTTTTTTGTGGTCCAAAATATTTAATTTTTTAAGATATAAAGAAGGAATTAATTATTTCTTTCCAAAGTAGTCCTTGGAGTAAAAAACTTAGGAGTAGTTTGTTATATTTTCAATAAGCAAATTAAGGTTAATATGATAAATTTTATTGTTATTTATGTTAAAAGGTAAATTCCTTAATATGTGTGAAAAAAGCTAAAAAATCACTTAAAGTGGGAGTACACTTTACAAGTTTTGTACTAAGAATTTTGGTGATTATATCATGCTCTAATACATACTCCCTCCGTCTCATATTATGCGTCGTGCTTCTCTTTTACACGGCCCTTATAAAATATTAATTAGGAAATGAATTGGACTATTCTATTCTTATTTATATCTTAAAATATAATCTCTCTTCAATTAATATTTATTCTGTTTATGTGTTATCTTCATCTTCAAGAACTATTATTACTCAGGATAAAAAGGGAAAAAAATAATTAATTTTGTCTTGAACTTCTAAAATAACAAATAATTTGAGATAATTATTTTTATTTTTAGTAATCACGACTGTTACTGTGAGACAGAAGGTGTAATTTTTATCGAATTATCATTTCCTAGTGGTCGATTATTTAGTCAATTTCCCGTGTTTGCTTTTTCTCTAATGTCACGCTCAAAGCTAGCTCAAGAGGGAAACTGGTGCTTTAAATATCTCGCCTCCATTCATTTATTGGTTGTTTGAATTTAGTAAGTAAGGAGTAAAAAGTTTGCTGAAGAGATATGAAGCAACTTGGTGGAATAATATCAATATCAATGACTCAATCTCACATGGTCTATCCGTAAGACACGAAAGTTGTTGGAATGCATTAATTACAATCATTATTATTTGCTTTCAATTTTCTAACTTGGTTATAATGGTAGTAGTACTTCTTAATCACCAACCTAGCTTTTATAGTTTCTCGATCTAACCTATATTCCATTCACATGAGCTACAGCTAGAGAAGAGTTATTGAAGAAAAAGTACAAAAAAAATTAAAATAATTAAAGAAAATGTCTAATGAACATTTGCGATCTGTTACAACATAATTTGCAACATTAATATTGCAATTTCTTAAATAACTATAACGATGTAGAATTTGTAGCCCGAATAATGTGTACTGTATGGAGCACTCGTATCGTTGATCCAAACTAGTTTGGAATTGGAACTAAAAGTGTGTAAAACTTTAATCTATTTTCTTGTTGATTTTAACTTGCTGGCTCGCCAGGAAAAAAATTAAGAAAATAGGATTTTTATCTCAAGTTGCATAGTGAATTTATTCTGTCAAATTTGCTTTATAAAGAATAGTCATTCTTTAGTACGAATTTCTGATTCACTAGTTCAAAGATGAAGACTTTAAGATATAAATATGCACCACTTGATTAGAAAAGTCAAGAATTCCCTTTGAAGTTATGTGTACTATACTGATTAAAATGATACCCCTACGTTACATTTTAACTGATATTTGTCCTTAAATAATTGTTACTTTAGAAATTCAAGACTAAATTTGTTATTTGTTTTCAACTATACCCTTACTATTGAAGAAGTAATAGTTCTTTCTAATACTATCTAATTTTTAAAATGCATTTAATAGAGATAACTTCGTAAATTATATCTTGTAATTTGTCTTCATATCTTGTAAAAGGAGCTAAAGCGACAGCTAAAATGGGGCGGAGGAAGTAATAATGAGGCACTCTATTCAATTTCTTAGTCATTCCTGATTCTAGAAATGGAGAAATGATTCATGAGCAGCCGCAAACTAAAAAATGCTACTTAATCATATTTTCAGAAAAAAAAAGGGGAAGGAAATGATGATCAAAATGTGAATCAGAGAAAAACCACTGCAATTTCTTAACCGACTTACCACCTTTTGAAAATGAAATTCCCCCAATATAATCATTCCTTCATATCAGATCTTTTGAAGATAATGAATTTCAATTCTATAGCCACCATTTATATCCTCCTTGTTCTCATATTCTACTCAAAATGATTCCAAGTTTACACCAGGCAAAAGAATCCCCCATAGCAATAGAAAAGGAAGAGACTAGTGGAATGTAGAATCTTATTGCGGCAAAAGTTTCTCAAATTTGATGTTTATGCCAAATCAATAAAGTAAAATATTTTATTTTGTGACTCTTAAGATTAATTATTTGATTAGAGGTAAACATACGACATAAGTAATTTTTACTACACCACCTCTCGTTTCTGTTTTTAATTATTTTACCAAATATCGTAAGGGTAGTAAGTACATGCATTTTTTACTACACTACCTCTCGTTTCTCTTTTTAATTATTTTACCAAATATCGTAAGAGTACTAAATTCGGGCAACATGTAATTTGCTTTCATAGTTATGTACACTACCCGTCCCTGTTAAGTTTATCTTCCTTCATTTATGATTTTACTCATTCCTACCACTCAAACTAATGTAAACTACCACCATTACGTTATAGTTATTTCAAAGTTATAATATCACTTGCTTAACTAATCAGAACTAACTTTTTTACATTTAAAACTATTTGCATTATTTTCCAACAATTATTAGCATATGCACACTAGTCAATTTGGTCTACCTCGTGATTGGGAGGAGCGTAATAGTACTCTCACATATCTAAATTACATAAACTAGAAATGTAAGTTAGAGGATTTGGAGTCCCTCTGGAAAAAACTCACGAGTCACGAGTAGTGATTTCACTCCGAACTACTAAAGGACAAGTCATTGTATATATTTAGTTATTTTTCATTTGACATTGTTCCTTTACATCCAATCACAAGTTAGAATCACGTGTGAACGGAAGAGAGAAAAAGTGGATTCTACTCTATAAGAGGCTTTGTATTCAAGTTGAAGAAAGGGATATGCCAATAAGTGGGGTGAGGCGAATCTTCAATTAGAAAACAAAAAGAAAGGATATACATCCTATGATTTAGCATTTTCTGGAATCTTTTTGTTCTTATGTGAGATTGGATTTCCAATTTCAACTTAAAGCTTAGATCTTTATGTAAAGGTAATGTTGTGCTAATGGTTTTAAAGTAGCCAATTTGATATTCTTTTTGTCATAACAGATGATCTTGGATCGAACGAAGATTAGAAAGCATAGGTCCTACTGAAGTATTTCAGTCAATTTTTCGGACCAACGAGCGCTAGTTTATTTTAATTGATAATTGTAATCACGTATTATGCAAACATAATTATATAATGCGATTTCATAACCTAAAAAACACATAGTTAGATCCTTGGGAGAGGTTCTGAAACCGCTTTAGCAGCTGGATAACACTTTTTGAGTTGTGACTTTTTGGACAAGCAAAATTTTAAAGGTCTCGAGGATTCAAAAGCACTCAAATTACTGTTATGCTTCTCTTTTAAGAAAATATTAAATAAGAAAGGTTTAGAATTATTTTATCCTTATTTATGTCTTAAAATATAATCTCTTTTCATTTAATACTTACTCATAATTAAGATATTTGTAATCTTCAAGAACAATTAATATTAAGGGTAGAATATGAAAAAAAATAATTAATTTACTCTTGAACTTCTAAAATGGCAAATGATTTAAGACAACTATTTTTAGAAACAATGACAAATAATTTGAGACGGAAGGAGTAAGTTTTAACCCAACCGAGAACAATGGGAGCTTCATCAGAACGGCCGGGT